CTACGTGGGGACAGCAGAAGGAGGAGGATGAGGAGGAGGAGGAGGAGGAAGAGGAGAAAGAAGAGGAGAAGAAGAGGAGGAGGAGGAGGACGAGGAGGAGGAGGAGGACGAGGACGAGGACGAGGACGAGGAGGAGGAGGAGGAGGAAGAGGAGGAGGAGGAGGAGAAGGAGGAGGAGGAGGAGGAGGATACTCTCACCTCCTCTCCGCGCGTTCTCCCGCTTCGGAAGGAGATGCACAGGGTGCTCCGGCAGGATGAGGCCTTTGCCCAGAGCAGCGACGCGCTCCTGCAGGCGGCGTTGCCCCTCCTCCAGGAGGAGGACGAGGAGGAAGACGAGGGCGAGGAAAAGATTACGATGAATGCGTTTGAGGAGAAATAGGAGGATGAGGAGTAGGAAGGGGATGACGGGGGGAGGAGGAGAAGCAGGAGTAGGAGCAGGAGCAGGAGCAGGAGGAGGAGGAGGAGGAGGAGGAGGAGGAGGAGGAGGAGGAGAGGAGGAGGATATGAGGGCGAGGAGGGCGAGGAAGGAGGAGGAGGAGGAGGAGGGGGATGATGAGGGCGAGGAGGGCGAGGAAGTAGAAACATGGGGGAGGAACAAAAGGGAGGCGGCTGGCCGAGGCTCCACGGGCTGGATGGGCGGCTTCTCTCAGGGCGTTGACGGCGCGAGGGGCCCCCGAGCGACTGGCTTGGATGCCGAGCGCGCCGCGCAGCGCACGAAGCTCGAAATCGAGCACGCTGTCGAGGCAGCCAGCCGAGATGAGCAGCGCCCACCGTTGCTTGCCAAGCTCAGGGCCAAGCGCAGGAGGTGATGCCCTGAGGGTGTGCCGACAGCATCCTTGCGTCTGCCTGTTGCGAGCGTCCCTTGCACCTGCACCCCTCGGTGCCTCTTCCAGGGCCCTGTGCTCTGAGGCCAGCTAGTCGATGCGATTCTTCAGGCTTACGCCACATCCGCCGACCCCTTGATTCACTCGGAGCCTTGGAGGCTTCTTGGGGCAGCCTGGGGTTGTCTGGGGGTATGCTGCTTCGTGGACTCTAGGGCCATCTTGGGGCTTTCTTGGACCTCGCGTGGCGGCTCCCTTTCGGTGTCTCGTGGCCTTCATGGACTGTTTGGGGAGCTCCGTTGGGCCGTCCTGGTTCGCTGTGGCGCTCTCTGGCCCCCCATGGCGCGTTCGCGCGGGGTCGTCTGGGGCCGGGGGGGGGGTTAAACATCCGGTTCGGGGTCCCGGGGGGGTGGGATTATGGGGTGGGAAGAATCTCACACGCTTGGAGACCCGCAAGGGGTTTCCTTTACGTGTAGTTCGCGGAGGAGAGGAGAGGCGGGGATGAGGCGAAAGAGCCTTCTTGCATCCCCCCTTTCCTTTCCAGATCAAACGGACGGGGCTTGAAGGGGAGGGGTTTGCGGAGGGGGGGGGCATCTGACGCGCCGATGACATTGGAAGGTGTTCGCGGATGTTTTCAAGACGTCGTAGGTCTTGGAATGGACGTCGGAGGCGTGGGTATGCATACACCCGCTGCTCGTGATCACCTCCCGAGTAAAATCTATTAAAAATCGGTCCCCGGTCCGTTCTAGGGGTTGTTGCGGTCCTCGTGTGGGTTTCTACTGCTTCGTCTCCTTTTGTCTCTGTTTGTCGCTTTTCGGTGTGCCGGATTTGGGTCAGTCCGTGCTCGGTGTCTGTCGTCTCGGTTTGATGTCGGACTCTCAGCTTGGTAGAACGGCGCAACGCGGAGCAGGACAGCGCGCATCTGTGGCGCGGCGCTGTCACCTTCGATGTGTTCAGCGTCGCCATTTCCCGTTACTCGAATTTACGCGCCTTCAGACATCACCATGTCTGGCTGTCCTGCACCTCTTCTGGCTTTCGTGGGTCCACCAGGTTGACAGTCTTGGGCTCCAGAGGTGGCCTATGGAGGCTGAACCCCGGATTCGTTCCTGAGCGGCGGGGGCACGAGAGCGGCCCCTGGAGGCCGAAAACAACGCGGGACCGGGATGGAGGAGGGATCGGAGGATGAGGAGGAGGAGGAGGAGGAGGAGGAGGAGGAGGAGGAGGAGGAGGAGGAGGAGGGTTGAGGAAGGGGAGGGGGACGACTAAGGAGGGAGCAGGAGGGAGGAGGAGGATGAGGAGGAAAAGGACGAGGAGGAGGAGGAGGAGGAGGGGGAGGAGTAGGAACAGGCGGGTGAGGAGGAGGGTGAACAATAGACTGGGGGCCCATGTGGAGAAACATTCCGCCTCGCTCAAGGGTGCCCTAGGTTTTTGTCGATGGTTCTATGAAGGAAACCGCCGCGTCCCCGTGCCGAAAATCGAGGGGCATCCTGGGGTTTCAGGGTTCTGTTTCTTGCGGAAGGTGTCTTGTGATGGAGCCCCCACTGTATTCAAAAACGCGACGAGAACTCGAGATCCTGCGCGAGCTCCAGCGAGACATCGACGACTACGAGGACGACCGCTGCCGAAGGTTGACAACGACGACGCCGACGACGGTGCTGACGACGACGATGATGACTACGACGACGACGACGTTGACGACGACGCTCTCCCTCCCCCTCCGCAGCCACCCCGGACTTGGTCTACGATTTTGTTGGTCGATTTTGTTTTTTTCCGGCTGATATTTCGGCCGTTTGATGGGAGAACGTGCAATGCAGGTGAGATGGAGGGCGCGAAACAACTATTGAGGGTGCTGCGAGGGGAGAGCGTGAATTGGTATGAGTGGGGGGCGGAACTAATGCCACGAGACCAGTGCGAGCGCTGCCGTCGGAGATTGCTGGTAGAGGCGTTCACGAAATACGAGTTCCAGAGGAAGGAAAGGCCCGCATTCTGCAAAGAGTGCACGCGAGCGATGAAGATCGCGGACGAGAAATGGTGCGCGACGTGCAGAGGGTGGGCGACGAGAGCCGAGAGTCACGATGCGAGTCGACATGGTATCGGTCGGGGCACGGATGCAGCGCCGGACGGCGGGGTGACAAAAAATATTCGGACAATGTACTGCGCGAAGTGCAGCCGCGTCAAAGCCAAGCAGAAGTCGCGGAGCGGCAACGCGAACTGGAATGAAAGCGTTGGAGCTGTGCGTTGTTCAAACCAGACGTGTGTGTCGCTGTTTGACGAGCAGGCGGAAATGTCGGATGCACAGAAAAACACAGTTCAGCGGGGGAGAGGCTCTGTCGGAAATGCGCGGAGGGGCGAGGTAACGAGGTGCGGCGGGAGTGCGGAGGCAGCGAATCGCAAACGGAAAGCCGAGGCGGACGCGAAGCCGCTGACGTGCTGCGTGCCAGGATGCGGGGTGAGTTTTTTCGGAGGCTGGCCATTTCGATAGCAGCCAGGTGGAGGATCATAGGAGGACGGGAAAACGAGTGGTTTGCGGCGATTGTAGCAAACGCGGCAGGACGGCGAAGGAGGTATCGGATGCGGCGAAACGGTTGAAGAGAGAGCTCACGTGCGCGGCGTGCAAGAAAGGGTTCGCTCGGCAGGAGCACATAAACGCAGAACAGGAGAGCAGGCACTTCACGAATGGTCTTACAGTTATATGCGCAGATTGCATTGCCGTCGGTTTCGCGTCTCGCGGTTGGGAAGCCTCTCAGTGCAGTGGCAAGTGCCAGGGGAAATTGCCAATGTCGGCTTTCTCCGTGAAGGCGGGCAATGTGGCGCGTGACGTGAAGAGGGGGGCCCTGAAGTGCAAGGCATGCAAATGATACCAGCAGGGCGCCCGTGCCATGGCCAGTACAAGTGGGAGCGCCGGGGGGCCGAACGAGAGGGAGGATCCTAAAAACCCGATGAAGAGAGGAACGCGACGAAATTGAAATCAGAGGAGGAGGAGGACGGGGAGGATGAGGCTGAGGAGCAGAGGATGAAAAAGGCGGGGAGGACGAGGAGGAGGGGGAGGAGGGGGAGGGCGAAGGGGAGGAAAAGGCGCTGGATAAAGCTGACGAAGGCGACGCCGACGACGAACGATAGAGGATTCATGGATGTTCGTTGGGGTATCGTGTTGGCCTGTCGGGGGCCTCTTGAAACGAGGTTCGAGGCCTCTTGGAGGCCGTTGTGGGACTTCTTCTGGGCCTTTGGGGGGCCTTCGTGGGGCCTCTTGGGAGGCCTCCTGGGTGCCCCTTGGGGCCTCTTGGGAAGCCTCTTGGGGCTCTGGGGGCATCTTGGGGCCTCCTGGCGCCTCTTGGGGCCCCCTCTTGGCCCATCTTGGGACCCTCTTGGGCCGTCTTGGGCGCCCTTTGGGCCGTCTTGGGGCCTTCATGGGCCGTCTCGGGGCCCTCTTGGAGACTTCATGGGCCGTTTTGTGGTGGTGTTGGGAGCCTCCTGGGCCATCGTGGAGCGTCGGAAAGCAGAAAAGGCGAAAAGACTAAAAATGTACGTCCTACCAGGGAAATGGGACCATTTTTGGGTCTGGGGGCCCTCTTGGTGCGCTTCTTGGAAGTCTCTTGGGCCATCTTGGAGGTCTCTTGGCCTGTCTTGGGGGCCGTCTTGGGCGTCTTCGAGCGCTGGTTTGGCTATTCGGGGCCTCCTTGACCTTCTCGGGAGCCCCTTGGTGCGCCGTCGGCCCGTTTTTTAGCCCTTTGCCCCTCCGGGAGGCACGAAAGCCGGGGTCGGCCGGGGCCCGGGGGGGGGGTCAAATCTCCGGTTTGGGGTCCCTGGGGGGGGGGTAGGGGGGGGAACTATCTCACACGCCTAGAGACCCACAAGGGGTCGGCGGACTTCTTCCCTCGACGCACGTGGCACCCGCACCTCCCGCGGAGCCTGGGTCCTGGGCGCCGGGTCGCGCTGGCCGATGGCCGTGGCCAGTCCGGCGTGGATGGCAGAGCCGCGGAGCCTGGGCCCTGGGCGCCGGGCCGCGCTGGCTGATGGCCATGGCCACTCCGGCGTGGATGGCGGAGACTTTCTGCCTGCGGCAGTCTGCCGCAGCCTGGCGGGGCGCCCCGTGGAGCGGAAGAGGGGCTCCTCCCCGCGGCACGCGGGCCTCGCGTTTCGTGCCGGGCGGCAGGATAACGGGAGAGGAGGTTACGACGTCTGCTGCCCGCGGCTGGTTTCAGCCCTGCAGTCGGGCGCCTCGCCTCGATGCAATGGCGCCTTTGGCGCCAGGAGGCGCTCGGCAAACCGCCCACGCGAGCTCATCCGCTGATCCCCGCTTTGTTTTCCTCCTTTCCTTCGAGCCCGAATGTTGTGACCTGCGGCAGTCTGTCTCCGCCTCGTGTTTTTTTTGTTTTTTTTGTGTCTGGCTCAGGGGCTGCGGCCACGCAGGCTGGAAGGGGTTTACTATTTTCGTTCAGTTTGGCAACTGGGAGCTCGTGTCCTTGAGGCGAGTCTTTTTGGAAGCTCTTTCTAAGATACACCGACTCGGTTTAGTAGCCTTTGGTTGCCTCTAGTGTATACTTAGCAGCGTTTGGCGCTCTTTCGTGGCCTCTTAGCGGCCTTTAATGGCCTTCGGCAGCCTTTGGTGGCCTTCAGCGGCCTTGAGTAGCCTGTGCAATACGCAGGGCGGGTAGCTTCCAGAAGGACACACATAGTGTGGCATTTTCTTTTGCGGAGCTGGGCGCCCTGGCGCGGACAGCCGAACGACCCCTGCAGCGGGGCGCCCTGGCAAAACGGTCGCCGCCGCAAAAAAAACCCGTTTAATGCTGGCGCCGCGCAAAGGCGGCGCCGAACACACTGCGCCGCTGGAGGGGGGCCTCGCGCGCGCTTGCTGCGAGTGCCGTTGGGCTCGGGGCACGGAGGCGGCCCGCGCCTTCCGCCAGCTCACCGAGGCGCAGTCGCTCCCCCGCTCCTTTGGCGCCGCTGTAGCGCTCTCCCGCTCGCCGCACCTGTGCGGTGGTGATGATGATGATGATGGTGATGGTTTTGGTGGTGATGGTGATGATGACGATGATGGTGGTGATGGTGGCGGCGGTGGCGATGATGATGTTGATGGTGATGTTGATGTTGATGCTGGTGTGGGTGCCGATGTTCATGTTGATGTTGATGATGATGCCGATGATGATTATCATGCTGATGTCGATGCGGTTTATGATGATGATGATGATGATGCTGATGCTGATGATGATGATGAGGTCGCGCGGTGATGGTGAATGACGATCGTGGGTGGATATGATGGGCGGTGGTAATGGTGATGACGGGTGATGATGGCGGAGGGGGAACATTGATGAATGTGTTGATGGTGATGATGGTGGGTGGATGATGGTGATAATGATGATGACAATGTTGATCACGATTATGCTGGTAATTGGGATGGGTGGTGATGCTGGTGGATGGTGATGGTGATGGTGATGATGTTGGTCATGCATGGTGATGATGACCGTGGGTGGTGCTGCTGACGGTGGTGTTGATGATGGGTGGTTATGGTAATGGCGACGATGGGTGATACCGGTGGTATAGGGTGGTGGTGATCGATGGCGATGGGTGTTGCTGGCGGGTAATGATGATGGGTGACGGTAGATGGTGATGGCGACGATGATGATGTTGGGTTGTTGGTGGTGGTGATGATAGACGGTGGTGATGGTAATGATGGTGATGATGGAGGGTAGTGGGCGCTGATGGTGATGCATGAGGATGGTTCGGATGAATGGTGGTGATGTTGGGTGGTAACGGGTGATGATTGGTGATGATGATGCTGGTGGATGATGATGGTGGTGATCGGTGATGATCATGATGTGCGATGATCTTGATGTGCGTTGTTGATCGTGATGATGATTTTTGGGGATCTTGATGTTGACTACGGAAGATGAGTGGTCGTGATGATGACAATGGCTGGTGGTGCTGGGTGGTTCTGATGTATGGTGATGGTGAATGACGATGGTGATGATGGTGGTGGTGGTGATCATCATCTTCGTCGTCGTCGTCGTGTTTGCGTCGTCGTTTGCATCGTCGTCGTCGGCCCATTCGATGCTTGTTTGGGCGTGCTGGCCCATGCGCTATCGATATTTGTGTTCTGCTGTTGGGACCAGCCTGTCATTTTGCATCGTCATGCTGTCGGACCAGCCGCCAGAAGAGAGCGGCGCCGCAGGAACACGACCAGCTATTGCTCGAGCTCGTCGACAACAAAAGGCGTGCCTCTCTGGCGGATCTTTGGTCATGATAATGTGATGGTGGTGTTGATGACTATTGTTAAACAGTGCCATGGCGGTAGCGATACCTCTGATGATGGCGCAGTAGGGGGTGGCGGTTCCCCAGTCCTCTCTGGAACCCCCTTCTCTGAACAGCCTATCCATTATGGTTTGTCGGAGGGAAAACCCATAATACCCCCTGCCCCTCTCTGCAGTGAGGTTGTGCGGTGGTCTTTGTGCTGCTATTGATGCTGTGCCTATCCTTGTTACTGTTGTAATGCAATTGGTGTTTGTTTTGTTGTTGCATAGGTTTTGTCATACATTGGGGCGCATGGCTCGCAACATGCGCACAGGCGCAAATATTGTTTGCATGGCTGAACTGTGGCGATATCCTTTTCACAACTTGGAGACTGCGTCTGTACAACACACCCCTTTCGGCAGTCGCCCCTCCCTCCCACAGAGGCTTTGGCCCCGACCCTGGCCCCCCACCCCTACTTTCTATCTTCCGAGCCTCAAACAGGGCTGGTGTCCGACGTTGCACCTGCATCGGGCGCGAGGCTTCCAGCAGCTCATGGAAAAGGCGAGAGGGATCTGCACCGCTGCATTTTTACCGAGCGCGAGCTGTCCAGCAGCCCATGACGTGGTATCTGGCGCCGCGTTTCTATCGAACGCGAGCCCTCCAGCAATTCGCGCTGAAAACTGAGAGCGCCATCCAGCGCGGAGTACTTTGCGTTTGGTGATATGCGGGGTGTGGGGGGGGGCCACCCCCGCCGACGGCCCCACATCGACCCCGTCGCGGGCAAACGTTGCCGCGCCCAAACATCCACACCCCCTTCTCCCCGGTGCGCCGACGGGGCGAACCTGACCCCCGTCGCGCGGCGTGGACAGGCTGACGTTGACCCCCGTCGGGGGGGGGAGGGGACCCCCCCCGCTGATCCGACACGGGCCTCCCGGCAACCCAGGGCCTGCCGTCGAGCACCGCATTTTTGGATCGGGCGCGCGCCGTCCAGCCGGCCCCCCGCCGAAGCAGCGAACGTCCCCCAGCGTTGGCGTTTTGCCGTTCGCGAGCCGAGCAGCATCCCGCAGCGTGCTTTGTCAGCGCTGCATCTTGATCGACGGTGAGCTATCTCTGAAGATCTGGCGCCGGACGCAAAGAGGAGCGAGACGTGGAAGAAAGGGAGGACATCTCGAGGAACTGCCAAAGAGGCCCCCGTCGAAGAGCGCGAATCGGGCGCGGGACTCGGGACCAGGGAAGCGAGGCCCGGGGCCGTGGGAGGCACCCCTCCAGTTCCCCCTCGTGCCTTTCCCCCCCTTCACCGAGCGCGTGCCACTACTCGCGAAGCGCCTACTCGCTAACGTCCGAAAAACACACGTCGGCTTCGATGTAACTTCTCGTAGATCCCCCGCGGGGCATCCAGACCATTTGCGAGTAGTCACTTTGCGAGTAGTGGAACGCGCTCGTCTACCCTTTGCACAGGGGGTGCGGAAACCCCGTGTTGACACGGGACCGCGACGGGGAGGGAGTCCTGCACCGTTGGCCACCCCCCCTTCTTCCCCCACAGGGCTCCTAGGGGAAGGGTTTGTGGAGGAGCGGGTATGCCTCATGCCGAGGAACCCAAGGGGTTCCGAATCCCGTCCAGGGGCCAGGCTCCGATTCGACCCCCGACTCAGCGAACAGGAAGGGAATCAACGCAATGCTAGGGGATGAGTGGGATGGGAGGACGTCCGATGCGGCGTGAGCGCACCCTGGCGTGGCCCTCTCCACATCTGCACATTCTGAATCCTATTCTCCTCTCTCCCCTGACTCTGTCGGGAAGATGTCCCGCCCTCTCTGCCTCTTGCTTTAACGCAGGATTGTACACGCTTATTTTTCTTATTTATTTGTTTTTGCCATCCGTTTGTTTCCCTTGTTCCGAAATGGTGCCCCCGCTGCAGCGTCGGCACCTTTTCTCCTGTTTCTCAGAATGGCGCTCTCTTCCCAATGCGGGTCACTTTTCTTGATCCGAGTCCTTCCTCATTGTTGTCGCCCCTTTCCTTTCCCCTCCTCCGCCTTCCTTCCCCCGATCTCGAATAATCATGGACTGCCAGGCTTTAGGCCCGTCCCCAACAACCTCTTCCTCCTTCTCCCCCTCCTCCTTCCTCATCCTCCTTCTTTTCCCCCTGCTCAGCTCTCCCTTTACGATTGCGCATAACACGACATGGGTCTTTTTGTAGTTCCAGGTCCGCTATGACACGCGTGCGCGGATATAGAAAACACAACACGATGGAAACGGATGGATGGGTGGGGTATTGTGCCAGATACAGCGTGAGCGCACCCAGCTTGCCTTCCTCCCCTCTCCCTTCCTCCCTTCTTCCTTCCTCCCTTATCCCTTCTCTCTTCCTCCCCTCTCCCCTCTCTCCCCCCTCTGCTCCTTTCTTCCCCTCTCCCTTCTTGCCACTCTTCTTTCGCCTCCTCCGCAATATGCACAACATGAGTACTATACTCTTTCTCTCTCTTTCCCCGCTCGCTCTCTCTCTCTCTCTCTCTCTTCCCCGACTACCACTCCTGAGAGTGGCACGCCCCCCTCCGCAACACAAAGAATTGGTACGAGTAACAAAGGACTCGCGCGAGTTGGTTTTGAGTAGTTAGGTGCTTTCCAATCCGAACTTTTGTGGTCCTTCCACGGTGGCTCTCCCGCCGCAGCGTGGGCCTCGTTCTCGGATCGGTGCTTCACTCCAATCGCTCTCTGAATTGCGCTCTCGCCCCAGCGCGGGCCACTCTTCTGGATCCTGGTCCCTCCTCGTTGTCGTCCCCCTCCCCTTCCTACGCCTTTTCCTGGTCCTCCTGGTCCTCCTGCCCCTTTTACTCCAGCTCCTGCTGCTGGTGTTCGTCCTTGTCCTCCTCCTTCCTCATCCTCTTTTTGTTCCTCCTGCTCATCCTCCTGCCCAGCCGCCACCTCCTCCAATGTAGGCAACTCACCTTCTGAGATTGCTCATAACACGACGGTTTTTTCTTGTAGCTTCAGGCCCGCTACGAGGCGCGTCGGCGGATAAGAGAAGCAACTCAGCGCAGCTGGGAGGAATGGGTGGCAAGTGCAGGATGTCAGATATGGCGCGAGCGCGCTCAGCTTCTCCACTCCCTTCCTCTTTTTCTCCTTCGGGAGGTCGGCCGGCATGACGCGCTGTCTCGCGCCCGCTCGCGCATGTTCCACACGAGTTTCTCAGCGAGCCCGACCGCCCTCCAGGGGCCCCGGGCGCGGGTGACCCCCGCATCGCTGCATCCGCATCCGCATCCATCCAGCCACTCACCATCTTCCTTCACCGATCCCGGCAGGGCCGATCCTGGGCGCACAACGGGCCGGGCCAGGCCCGCTGTACCGGCAGGATGGGACGTCACCGAGCGCGTACCGCTGCTCGCAGACCGCCTGCTCGCAAGCGTCCGAAAAAACACGTCGTCCTCCTATGACATTTATCGCAAGTCCCTCGCGGCGGGTCCCGGCCACTGGCGAACAGCTGCTCGGCGAGCAGTGGAGCGCGCTTGTCCGGTTCCGGAGAGCAGCGGGTCCCAGGTCCCGGGGCTTTCCTCAGTCAGAAGATAGAAAAACACACAGACACAATTAATCGTCGGTTCCCCCGAAAATATGGGAAAATATGGGAAGTGGGGGGGAAAATATGGGGAATTCTTCTATTTGTGTGTATTTATTTGTGTGTCTCAGGGCTCCTTCACTTAGGACCAGCTCGGCATCCCGAGTCGTTCTCGGACGGTCCCGCGGCCCGCGGAGGAGGCGGCGACGGCCAGAGGCGCCCGGGGGCTCTCGCGCTTGGCCCTCGCAGGAGGATGGGGGGAGGAGTTTGAGCTTGAGTTTGAGGAGGGGGATGCCGATGACGATAGTACGCACGACGACGAGGACAACGACGACCAGGACGACGACGAGGATAAGGACGAGGACAAGGACGAGGACGAGGACGAGAACGAAGACGATGACGATGATGATGTTGATGATGATAGTGATGATGATGATGAGGAGGATGATACTGTGGAATGATGGGGATGAGGATGGTTATGATGATGATGTTGTTGTCGACAATGACGATGACGATGACGATGATGGTGATGGCGATGATGACGATGAGGATGATGATGACAATCGTCCAGGTGACGTTGTTGATGATGAGGATGAGGATGGTGATACTGTTGTTGATGATGATCACGACTATGGTGATGACGATGACGATGGCGATGACCATGACGATGCTGATGATGCTGATGATGATGTGATGATGGTGATGATGATCATGCTGATGATGATGCTGATGATGAGGAGGAGAAGGAGGAGTAGGAGGATGCTGTCGATGATGAGGACGAGGATGGTGATGATGTTATTGCTGATGGTGGCGATGATGCCGATGACGATGACGAGGCCGATGGCGACGACGACGATGACGATGACGATGACGATGATGATGCTGATGATGACGATGATGCTGATGCTGATGATGCTGCTACTCATGATGATGATGGTGATTATGATGATGACGATGATGAGGACGACGATGGTAATGATGATGATGATGATGATGATGATGATGATGATGATGATGATGATGATGATGATGATGATGATGATGATGATGATGCTGATGCTGATGCTGATGCTGATGCTGATGCTGATGCTGATGCTGCTGATGCTGATGCTGATGCTGATGACGACGATGACGATGATGATGATGTGGTGCTGCTGCTAATGATGACGACGATGATGTTTATGACGATCGTGCAGATGATGATGCTTCTGATGATGATGTTGGTGATGATCATGGCGATTCTGTGGATGATTATGGTGATGATGATGCTGGTGGTGATGCTCATGATGTTGGTGATGGTGAAGTAATAGAGGATGCGCTGCGCGCGGACTCCTCATCTCAACACATTAACGTCCTTCGCACGCTCGGATGTATTGCAGGCCCGAGAAGAGGGAGGACCAGAGGGAGGGCGAGGATGAGAAGGAGGCGGCGGAAGATGAGGAGGAGGACCAGAGTCATCCCAAGACGCATCAATGATGCCGCGATGCGCCGTCCCGTCCTAAGTTCCCTCTCCTCCTCCTCCTCCTCCTCCTCCTCCTCCTCCTCCTCCTCCTCCTCCTCCTCCTCCCTACACTTGTTTTCTGAAAGAAGCGCCCCCCTCTGAAAGATCAGGCCTGGGCCTGCCATTCTGGCGGGAGGCTCGTTTATCACAAAGGAACCTTCCTGCATGATTCTACGTATGGGATGGTGAGGTACTCCAGATTTCGTAATAAAGGGAGGGGGGGTCTCATTTCGGGGGGGGGGTCTCTTCCAGGCTATCTTGGAGGGCCTGGGGGGTCTGGGGACGATGTTTTGGAGGGTTCTCCCACGGGGGAGGTCTGAAATTGCTTGTCTTGGAGGGTCCAGACCCCCTTCCTTTTATTACGAAATCTGGAGTACGCGAGACGGTATGATCATACAGTTCATCGAAGTGTCCAGCGAGATCCCCGCTTCGAAAAAGGGCAGCCCCCACCTACTCCGGATTCCATAATAAAGTAATTAGGGGGGGGTTACATTTGGCGGGGGGGTCTGATTTGAGCTGTCTTGAAGGGTTAGGGGGGGTCTGGGCAAAGTGCCGCCCTTTCATGGATGGTCTGGGGGGGTCTAAAACTTGTGGTCTGGGAGGGTTGTGACCCCCTCCCTTTTATTACGAAATCTGGAGTACGTAATTGTTGCGTAATTTTACGCTTTGATTCGTGAGCTTCGTTGAAGTCTCGAGCGAGAGCCTCAGCTCGAAAAGGAAGCGCCCTCCATTTTGAAAAGAAGCCGTCCCCCGTCCCTGCGGTTTCTAAAACATTTTACTGCGAATGTGCGCCGCGCGAAGGCGAGAGCTCAATTTCGAAAGCCGCCCCTCAATCCCTGCAACTGTTGAAAGCTTTGAAGACGAATCCAGGTCGCGCTAAGGCGACAGCCCAATTTCGAAAGCCCCCCTTCATCCCTGTAACTGTTGCAAGCTTTTGAGGCGAATGCGCGCCGCGCTCAGGCGACAGCCCAATTTCGAAAGCCCCCCCTCCATCCTGGTAGATATTGCAAGCTCTGAAGCTGAATGTGCGCTGCGCTGAGGCGACAGCACCATTTTGAAAAGGGCCCCCATCCATCCGTGTACGTGCTTCAACTTCTGACCTTCAGGGTCATCGGTGGTGGGGGATCCTCAGGCGGAGCGCCCAGCCCGTCCCGCCGACACGTCTGGGGGCGCGACAGGGAGGTGCCCACGAGGAAACGGACTGGGGGGAATGGGACGATGCAACTGGACCTCCTCCTCCTCCTCCTCCTCCTCCTCCTCCTCCTCCAACCTGGTCATCCAGACAGACGGGGGCCCGTCGAGAAGGGGACTGCGCGGCTCGCTCCTTCATCGTCGGGCTCTGGGTCGGGCGAGAGGGCGACGAGCACGGTGACTGCTCGTGTGCGCCGTGGGTCGTGCGCGGCGCCTCTCTGGAGCTATTGGCGACAGTCTCCGAAGCAGAAGCTGTATCATCGGGCTCTGGGTCAGGCGAGAGGGCGACGAACACGGTGATTGCTTCTGTGAGCCGTTGGTCGTGCACGGCGCTCCTCTGGAGCTATTGGCGACAGTCTCCGAAGCAGAAGCTGTAGCTGTGGATGAGGCGTCGCAAGAGGCAGCGCCCCTGCTGGAGCAGAGCAGAAACAGCCGAAGCTCTATGGTAGGTTCACGTCGTGTCGACTGGCGGCGATTCCGCCGCCAGCGTTCAACGTTGAGCGCCGGCGGCGGCCCAGAATCGGTCGGTGTTTGAACGATCGGACGTTTCGGAACGGCCGATCGTTCAAGGTTGAACGATCCCCGTGGTGTCAGGAACCAGCGCCGAAGTCGGCACGACGCGAACCTGCCGTAGGCTTCTTGAGCTGCGGAAGCGAACGAAAGCAGGAGGATGGCAAACACCATGGTTCCGCTGCCCTGCGGCTGTCCGGCGGGCCGGCCGCGTTCTCCAGGCAGACGCTGCAGTCGCTGCAGGGCGAGCTCGACGTGATCGTGCCCGCCCTGTCGCAGCTGGAGGCGTCCGCGGCTGTTGCAGCATTTTGGCTCCGGAGGAGTCTAGGCCGCCCAAAACGGGGTCGAAGTAGACGCCGTGGGCGAGACACATATCCGCATCCGCGGCCTCGCGGGCTGGGCCTCTGGGCCGCGACCCCGCGGATACCTGGCGTTCTTTCGCGGATGCCCCGCGCGGAACTATCTTTGCGACCGCATACCTGCTATTCGTGTGATCGCGCCACGGAATCCAGACCGCGAGGGCGCGGATATGGATATGTTCGCTGCTCGTGCAGAAGGGGTCGGAGGATCCTGCCGCATCGCCGATGCGGCGCGATCTGGAGCCCGATTTTCTCCATTCCGACGTCGCCGAGAGTCGGCGATTCGGCAAGATCCTCCGACCCCATCTGCTCTGACCCCATCTGGGCGTGCCTCGAGAGGAGGATCGGGATCCCGCAAAGGGTGTGTGTGCCCCGTTGTGTGAGTGTGTGTGTGTGTGTGTGCCGCCGGGTTCCTGTCCAAGGCGTTCCTTTGCAAGCACATCGTCCTCGGCACCGCCTGATTCCGGGGCTTTGTCCCCTCCTGGCCTTGATGTGAGGCCCATCCTTCTGCCCCCCTCTCGTTAATTCAAGCTGTGCGCGGCCCGCTTAGCTTCGACCAGAAGAGGTGCGCTCTCGACCCGCGAATCAAACAAGTGTGTGTGAGAGAGAGAGAGAGAGAGAGAGTTCGATCGCTTTTGCACCGAACCGCCCAAAACAGATGCTCCCAGCCCCCCGCATGCCCCATATATCGGCAACCAAGTTGCCGATGTTTGGGGCATGCGGGGGGAATTCATGCCCCTCCTTAGGGTCCCCCCCCCCCTTTTACGGATCCCGAGAGGGTCAGGGGGGGAGGTTCGTCACAGACGAGGACGAGGACGAGGACGAGGAGGAGGAGGAGAAGGAGGAGGAGGAGGAGGAGGAGGAGGAGGGGGAGGAGGGGGAGGAGGGGGAGGGGGGGGAGGAGGAGGAGGAGGAGGAGGAGGAGGAGGAGGAGGAGGAGGAGGGAGGAGGGAGGAGGAGGAGGAGGAGAGGAGAGGAGGAGGAGGGGGGAGGAGGAGGAGGAGGAGGAGGAGGAGGAGGAGGAGGAGGAGGAGGGGGAGGAGCATGCACCTCTTGCCGTCGTCGCCCCCTTCTCCCTGCTCTGGGCGTGGCGGTGGCATCGCCGTGCCAGTCTGGCGCCCGTCTGGCGCGCCCCCGCCAGCGGCCTGGTTAAGTCGGGCGCGTCCCTCTACAGGAGGAATATTCAAAAATCGTTTAAATAATAGTCGGGGACAAAATATTTCCCCCCCAAAATATTTTTGAGTATTTTTGAGTATCTTGTATCTTTCGTCTAAACTCCGCTTGTAGGGGGACATGCCCGACCCACGTCCAGCGCGCCCGTCTGGCGCGCCCGCCTGGCGCCCACTCCAGGGGCGCTGCGTGAGGAGGGACCCTCTGGGCCGCTTTGCGCGCGCGTAGGGAGGAGTATCGGGGGCACCGGCAGGGAGAGACTGGCTCAGGGTGGGGGGGGAGCATTTGCTCGAAGAGCAAGAAACTGCATGAGCACAATTTCACTTTCGGCGCTCCGCGCGGATCGAAGAAATCCGCGCGGACCTTCAAACGTTTCTCTTTGTGCCGCTTTTGGTTCTTCTACTCACCCCCGATCGCCCATTTCTCGCCGATCGTGGCCGGGGTGCCCCAGATTGCGTAGGCGTGGGGTGTCCCATCGGGGGCCAGACGCCAATCTCACGGCGATGTATCGCCGATTCCGGGTCGCTGTCTCCCCCTGAGCCAGTCCCCCGGGCTCTTGTCAGAGGAGGAAGGAGGCAGACGAGGACTCGCGGCATGGCTCTGTTGTTCGCCCGCTGCTGCTGATGCTTCTGCCTATCCTTCCTCTGTCTCGTCCCACGCCGTGGTATGGGCTTCGGACTTTGCCGTCATCGGACTAATGTGCGAACACGAGGGGTGACGAGAATGAACAGAAGTAGCAGGATCAGGATGTACAGGACAAGCATTCGCCTCTTAGGGCTTCGCTGGAAGGCGCTTGGGAGCAGAACAGGGGGGGGGGGGGGCGATTTCCTGAGGACAGCTGCGATCAGAGTATGGTGGGCACTGGAAAGCCATCGAAGCCCTACCAGGCAACAAGCAAGCCCTCCGAAACGCCCAATCGTGCTGAAGGCATGGTGGCGGTTGCGGATACGCCAGTGTGTGTTCGCGAAGTTTTCTTGGCATGTCAGAGATAGAGGCCCACGCGTTTCCCGAGGGAGATCCATCCAAGTGGTGGAGACCCACGCGCTCTGCGAGTAATGGAGCCAGCGAGCGACGTGGGCACACGTGCTTGCGACATGCGGAGCCAGCCCGCGACACAGAGCCGCGAGTCTTTGGAGGAGGAGGAGGAGGAGGATGAGCAGGAGCAGGAGGCGGAGGCGGAGGCGGAGGATGAGCATGAGGAATGAGGAGGCGGAGGCGGAGGCGGAGGCGGAGGCGGCGGCGGCGGCGGCGGCGGCGGCGGCGGCGGCGGCGGCGGAGGAGGAGGAGGAGGAGGAGGAGGAGGAGGAGAGGAGGAGGAGGAGGAGGAGAGGAGGAGGAGGAGGAGGGAGGCGGAGGCGGAGGCGGAGGCGGAGCGGAGGCGGAGGAGGAGGCGGAGGCGGAGGAGGAGGAGGAGGCGGGGGAGGAGGAGGAGGAGGGAGGAGGAGGAGGAGGAGGGGAGGAGGAGAGGAGGAGGAGGAGGAGGAGGAGGAGGAGGGAGGAGGAGGAGAGGAGGAGGAGGAGGAGGAGGAGGAGGAGGAGGAGGAGGAGGAGGAGGAGGAGGAGAGGAGGAGAGGAGAGGGGAGGAGGAGGGAGGAGGAGGAGAGGGGGGAGGAGGAGGAGGAGGAGGAGGAGGGGAGAGAGGAGAGAGGAGGAGAAGAGAGGAGAGAGGAGGCAGGAGGAGCAGAGGAGGAAGCAGAGGAGGAAGCAGAGGAGGAACCAGAGGAGGAAGCAGAGGAGGAAGCAGAGGAGGAAGCAGAGGAGGAAGCAGAGGAGGAAGCAGAGGAGCAAGCAGAGGAGGAAGCAGAGGAGGAAGCAGAGGAGGAAGCAGAGGAGGAAGCAGAGGAGGAAGCAGAGGAGGAACCAGAGGAGGAAGCAGAGGAGGAAGCAGAGGAGGAAGCAGAGGAGGAAGCAGAGGAGGAAGCAGAGGAGGAAGCAGAGGAGGAAGCAGAGGAGGAAGCAGAGGAGGAAGCAGAGCAGGAAGCAGAGGAGGAGGAGGAGGAGGAGGAGGCGGAGGAGGAGGCGGAGTGGATAGGGGAGCGAAAGTAGATAGGAGACTGGCACGGAAACAGGAGGGAGCCGGCACGTCGCCTCTGTGATCCTCTGTCTCCATGCGTCGCCCGGTGCTCCCCCCCTTGGCCGAGGTCCGCGTGGTGGAGACCAAGCACCGGATCGCCG